GAACCACGAGACAGACTGTCCGTCAAGTTAGAGAAAGTACGAGCAGCAGGAGAGAAATACGTCCGCTGGATGACCGAGTTTCCGGCACGCATCTCATAGCGGCGAGCAACTGCACTTTTCTACCGTTGCTTACGTTCGCGCACGCCTTTGCATCGGCTTTTGCCCATTCGTGGTGTAGATACCCTTTGCCTTTCGTTACATAACGCCGTTTCTTCGCTTCGAGCGCACCTTTGGGGCTCCCGGCCGAGTACGGGCAATTGTCGCGTCGCGAGCCCGGCCAGACGGCGATCGGTCGGCGGCGGCCCCCGTGTGCATGCAAGCTCCCCGAGACGCCGCCGTCAGGGGATCGGTTTGTGCCGTCCGCGAAATGGTAACCTTTGCCAGTAGCGAAAGTATGTAGGCAAGCCGGTTAGGAAACATCATAATATAAAGCCTGAGTGAATGAGAGTTGTCCGTTATTTGATTTATCCTTATCTCAGGGTTTAGATTATGACGGTAACCTAGCGTTGTTTACCAGTATTTCTCAAAATCGTAACAATCTTACCACAAGCGACTCGTAAAGCCGCTCGCCAAATTTTAGAACGCGTAATTAAGAGTCTTTGTTGTTGCTTTTTGGCGACACGTCAAAACTTTGTCGGCGGCATATCGAAACTTTCTGCTTGTAGTGCAATCGCACCAATGCCGAAACATTGTGCACAATTATTCTCCCGGCTGCCAGGAGATTGACACGGCCTAATTCTAGAGGTAATCTGGAGGAATACCTTTAGGAAAACGATCAATTGTCGCGAAGTAAGTGGCAGCGCACTTACGTTGACGAGATGGGACTTGAAAGGTGTAATCCGAGATAGATGTCGACACGGCCACGCAAAACCACCACTCAAACACAAAAGCGGAAAGGAACGTGTCCGTGGAGATTCAACACGATGTAGCAGAAGCTGTCATTTGTAGAACCGAACACTAAACGCATCACAAAAAATTATTGGGCTTCTTTGAAGAGATCGCTTGCAGAAGCAGACATCCGCACCAACCACGCATTGCAATTCACACGCCAAACTAGGTCCGGCTAAACGCATTCCGAGATTGCCAACGGCTAATGTGTCATCCTTCAAACCACGTGACCACGTTCCTTCTACCACGCTTTCAGCTTAGGGAGAGAAAAAAAAGAGGGAAGGAAAGGCCAAAACGGGCGTGCATGAACAAAAGGCTTATCTTATGGAGCATCACCAAGCGGATTTATCACTTGTACCCAAGGTTGACAGCGCAGCGAATGCTATGTGTGGCCCTGGGCTCCAGGCAGGTGCCATGTCCTGCTTTATCACCAGCTTCTAGACTGTAGTCACGTGACCCTAACCGGAGACACGATTGGCCTAAAGCATGCCTAGCGTCTACCCTGCTGCCAATACTGAGTGAACATACAGATCTATGAAGTCCAGCTTTTGAACTTCCAAAGAAGCTGTCCAGCTCGAAAGTGACAGAAAACGATGCGAGTTTGAAGGTACTATGTTTTACGCTGTATAACTCACATTATAATTTTAAATGAAAAAATATATGCGACTATTGTTGTGCACGATGTCCACAAATAAATAAATAAATAAATATGTATATATACTTTTTACTAATAAATTTAAAATTATGTCTACACTGTTAAATTCGCGTTTTTAAATTTTATTTTTTTTTTACGAAAGAGTTACACATAAAAGATACCACGGACAGCACATCTTCCGACTTTCAACACACGATGAATCACCAACGCTCGCAAACGAACGGATGCGATGCTTCGCGAACGGTTTTTTAAACATGCTGCGTATTGTACTTCGGGAGCGACGGCTTCGCAGCCGTTCAAAGGGAAAAGGATCCGGGACGACGAAGTAGCGTCTTGCATCATCAGTAAGCTAACGGTTCGTGTTTACCCGCTCAATTTAGCGGTGAGACATGAACAAAACTAGTTTCACTGCTATATTTAGCGGAAAAATTGACGTCACGTGACATACGTACCAATTCAATTTCTCGCTAAATTTGGCGGGGCGATTACACCGATGGCGACGCCGACACCGCTTAACTCGGAAACGGGTGCCTAAGAGCTGCAATCTAAAATCCATTATTTGAATAACTTGCTTTCCGATCGCACTTCGTCATATTGTCACACATCAAACATACAACCAAATTTCATTTGTCTTTCAATCTTCAAAATGCGCTATTGATTAATTGGTCCAAATACCTGGAATAACTTCACTTTAAGGATGTTAAGAATAGTTAACCCATTACATGAGACTCGTGCAATATAGATCAATCAACTAGTGTCTTGGCGAGTACATATGACTTTGCTTGCACGACCGAAACGGGCCCTTATATCATTATCAGGGGCTATATTTGCACGCGTATATGGCGATATATGGCCCTATTTACGTATTTATATGGCCACATCTGGCAGTATTTGCCCACTTACATGGCGAAATATGGCCGTATTTGCTCCCAAATATGGTGGAATATGTCCATATTTGACTGCTTATATTATCATATATGGCCGTATATAAAATATATCAGGGCCATATCTGACATTTTCGTACGGGCATGCACAGCGGCAAGAACAGATCCTCTGACACAGTGCAAACTCTGCGGCGCAGCACTAGGGACTGAATAGAGACCATGTCACGAAACCTGTCTTAAAACACACAAGTTCACGCTTGCTTTACGAATCTCGATATTTCTTATCATATTCAATTAAATTTTTGACTGGTTCGCCTGCCCTTTTCCACCCTTCGTATACTCATTCTCGTGTTTCCTCTTAAGATGGCGAATAAAGTTCGATGATATACGCCGACTGCACCGTGTATAGTTTCGTTGCACAACTTTCAGCGTGTAGCTTGTTTATTTTCTTTGCGACTAATGTAGAAAAATGTATTCTACGATGCCATGACTCGATCTGTATTTATCTTGTCTTCTCTTACGAATTGTGATGTTCCTCTTCGCGCTGATTGAGTGGCGGTTTCAGGCAGCAGACGGTAACAACTGATTCATTCTTCTATCTCGGTGTCGGTTGACACAAGATACAATAAACGGGGTAATACCGCACTGGCCGAATTGACATTCCCCGTGTTTCCTCAACAACACCGTCCAACTGACTTCTCACCGCCTCAGACAGGGTCCAGGCCAAGGAGCACGAATGCAGACCGGACAGCCGAGACGCGCGGAAGCCAGAACCTCAGTGGCAGCTAACTCCCAGCTCTCCTTCTCAGTTGCCCTCACAGCAACGGTCGTGTCTCGTCTGGCGTGGGACGGTCTTTCTGCAGGTCTAGTCAGTTTGGTCACATCAAGAGCGGTGACGATAGTTTAGTTCACCTTACGATGGACCTCAACAGACAGCACGAGAGTCATCGAAACCAATCCAGTGCCTTCTAAGTGTCACGTGACACTGCAGTGCCGCTCACGGTGCTGGATTACCTAGGGTGACTCGCAGCGTCCGCAGCAGTCCATCGCAAGGTGAAACGAAGTATGCAGAGGCTAAAGTCAAAGGAAATGAGCGGGAATCCGCTAGCTTGCTTGTAACCCAAATCCACTAAAACATATAACACAGAAAACAAGCATCGGAACAAAGACCAAGTAAAAGACGGACTTACACTACAAATGCAGTATAAAAAAAACAAGCCTCGGAGTAACGCGCAAGAGGAGAAGAGGGAAGTGAATCTCGCTTTGGTTTTAATGCCGCAGCAAACCCACATTTCGCACTTCAAAGGAGTGTGCACGAATGAACGTGGAAGGCAGCAGGGTTGGCTGCCTGCTAAACAACGCTCCTCGAACTATAAGAAAACAATACCTGATCATCTTTCGGCGGCGCCAGAGTCAACGAGTTATCAGAGCTCTGCGAGTTATGAATCGCTTTCGCTCCCAGACCTCAGCCTGTGCACGCGCGTGCATTCTACAAACCGTCGCAACAACAACAAAAGAAGCATGACAAGAAGTACGTTGAGGAGTTGTGCATGGCGGTTTCTTTCTTTGCCGCTCTTTTTTCTTTTGCTTGGTGCTTGGTTTCTTGTTTCGCTCTCGTGCAACGCCAGTGAAGCCCGACGCCTGCGCGTCCGTCAAAGGCGCCACGTTACCCCCCTTTCCCCCTTTGCTCTTTGATTTGACGCTTGTGTTTTGTATTTCATTTTTTTTTTTTTGCGTATAAGTCTGTTAGGGCTCCACGCGGGCTAGCAGTTTCCCGCTCATTTTATTTCTGAGCCACTGACTCGCTGACTGGCTCGGTTTAGCTGACCGTAAACAGTAAAAAAAAAAAAAGAAGAACCGTGCCCATTCCATTCCCATTCCATTCCGGGCAAGAGGCGCCTAATTCCATTCCCTTTTTTTTACCCTGAACGTTGCCGCCATCCACTCCCATTCCATTCCGAGGTCGTGAAAATGCGGAATGATTCCGGGAATCATTCCAACTCGGAGTGGCAACTCCGCAACACTGGTAGTGACCGGCGCGACCGGCGTTTCAATCGCGAGGCTATGCAAGCGCCTTCTTTTTGATGCTCTTCGTCGTCTTTATCTTGGAATCTTCAAAATGCCTCGATCAGACGGCGGAGGAATCCTAAGGGGCGCAAAATGTCTCGACCTTGTGAGCTCGGCAAATTTTAACACGGCTAGAATAAACAAAAGACTCGTGGTCGCCGCTACAGCACGACCGCCCATGCCGACGCCGATGTTTGTTTACTCCCGGCCTCCCCCCGACATGTGCGAGGGCGGAGGTTAGTCGGAATCGTCACCAACCTCCTCCCCGCCTTCGCGCCTCCTTTCCCACGCACAGAAGACGAAAGTGAGCCCACTTGCGAGGCGTATCCTATCACATCCTGGGTTGCGGAGTTGCCACTCCGGAATCGGAAGGATTCTGGAATCATTCCGCTTTTTCGTGTCCCCGGAACGGAATGGGATGGAATGCCTGCAGACTGGGAAAAATGGAATAGGAATTGAATTGCATACCTCTTACCGGAAAGGAGTGGCAATGGAATGGGCTCGGACCTTATGGGAGCTGAGTCGGTTATCATCTAGGACCTACGGGCTGATGGCGCAATTCACTAGCGCATGGTAAGTGGCTATTGAAACAGCATCATTGCGCTGGAGGTGGCTGACGGCTTGATTGTCTCACTGACATATGCTCATTCAAGGATGAAAATGGCGCGAGCTGAGTGAAGCTACCAAAACTAAATAGTTATAGACAGACAAGGTGTTGTTCCTGGCGCCGCGAGACGCGACAAAGCTGCTGATGTAATCCTGCGCTTTCAGCATGTAGCTTTTAACCAGGGTGTCGAACCGAACCCGAACTGAAAGCCGGAGACAAACCGTTATTTTTAGCTGAACCGGAAAAAAAACTGTAACCCAAATCAAACATTTGATATCGAACCCGAACCGGAACAGAACCGTAATTTCATGTGGAAATTACCGGTTCATTGGAAATGGTTGGGCGCAATAAATTATGACCCGCGCCTTCTTGCGGGTGGTGGCGCTAAGCCAATTAAATATTCGTGACGGTGGCATCGGTGGCTCCGTTTTGATTAAACAAACGTCAGCGACGACACGAAGGCAGCTGACGAATAATGCAACAAAGCGCTATATTTGACGTCCATGTGCAGCACGAATTGACTTTCAGAAAGCGTACACTTCTCTACTTTGGTTTCACGTTATCATAGATTGCAAAAGACGCTACGAGCCACCGGAGCCAATCCGTAGCTCGGAGGGCGTCACGTGTCCTTCCGGTTTGGCGGAGCGACGTGGAGAGCGCGAAGTAAGGAGACAAGCTATAGCCTTTAAACTATGGATTGACTCGCGTAGGGTGGCGTCCATCGCAGTGAAACGGAGCAGGCGTATGCCGAAATACTAAAGAGCTATTCTTTGTGTGCGGGCGTGTGTTTTCTTTTCTTGCTGCTGAGTGATATTGCTCGAGGAAAGAGAAAGCGAACATGAACATCAAAATAAAAACGAAACGTTGACGGCTGTCGGCGCTTTTGTTCCGCTGTGGCGAGATCTAGACTCGTCTAGAGTCACTAAATAAGCTACGCTTTCAGAGTACCGCATTTCTTTTCATTGGCATTTTGCCGACAATACAGTCGATCTATTCAGCAATATTCTGGTTCGCTGCGGCATCATTGGACGGCGGCAGTCACGCGAGTCGCTAAAATCATCATCGCGTTTTTTTTTTAACGCCACCATCTTGGGTCCAGCGATCCTTTGCCTGCTGCTGTTTTACTGTTTACTGCGCGCGCACGCTGAAGTCCGTCGCTCAGCATGCACTTTTTCCTTCTTACGTCGAGATACGAACAACGCGACCTTGATTCGCTGGCACAGTTGCGGCTACGGCAGCTGGCGCAGGCGACGACTACAGTTCGGCTTGGCTCAGCTACAGTCACTCCTCCATCGGTGTGTGAACCCAAGATGGCGGCGCCTGACGCGCTTCAGACGCCTAGTTCAGGAGTTTCGGTACTCTGAAAGCGTAGCTTTATTTAGTGACTCTAGACCACGGTGGAAGAAATACATTTAGGTGGTGACTCTGGCCGCTCTTCTCGTGGGGAGCGAGCGACCAGATCGTATTCGGAACTAGCCTCGAACAAGGAGTATACTCTGTTTCACCTTATGATGTACCGCAGGAAAGGCTACAAGCGCGAGCTCCTTGCTCTGGGGCACATCCCGGCGGCACAAGCTCTCGTGACTTAAGAGCAGCTGCCAACGCTTTAAGCTCGCGCTTCTAGCCTTCGCTGCGGTACAACATAGGGTGAAACGAAGTGCAGTTGTTCCGTGTCGCCGCGGAGGGCGCTGAGGTGTGAGCACTGTTAGGGTGCCTACATGTCTGTCTGTCTCAGGGTGAAGACATCCATTGTTGCCCTGAATCTGCCAGCGCGTGACTCTCTCGCGCACTCGGTGCGTGACTTGGGCGGTAAAAGGGCGTCTATGCATTAGCCAAAGCTACGCGCTCGAGCTGAGTGACAGCAGATTGCGCGCGCTCCAAAATGCATAAAAGAACGATTGGGTGGAAATATGGCAGAGATGTCACCACTCAAGCAAAAGCGCGCGTGTGTATGAAGGCACTCTAAGCACTGTGGGTATGAGGTCTCTCATCGGCGGCCACGGAGTCAGGGGCGTAGCTGGCTCGCCTTTTTCGCGGTGTGGTGGTGGTGTCCGGTCAGTGGCTGGCCTCATGTTTTGCTTTGGTGCTGCGTCAATCACCGGTGCCACCATCGCGCACGAAGATGAGCATTAACCCGAAGAAGAAGTTATGCGATAAGGATGGGAAAGACGTGCTCCGACCCCAACGGCAATTCGGGGTACCGGAACTGCGCAGAGCGAGCGTCCTTGTTTAAACCTCCATCGAATGACGCTCGCCTGGAGCAGAGGCGTCGTGCAATCCCGAGGGCCGATCGCAAGTTACTACCTAGTCTCCTCATCTCGTTGACCAAGTGGAGACCGAGCTTGACAGTTTAATTTCTGTCGAAGACTGGGAATGCGAAGATGTCTGGACAGAAAAGGCTCATGAAACCAAGGCTGTGGATTGCATGCTATATTATATAACTAGGTTTTTGAGCGTAAAAATAAAAAAAAAGCTACACGCTGCCCTGCATGCCGATCCGCTTTCAGCATCGACAAGGACACTTCTACTGAAGCAGCACTGACAAGCCTGAAGAACAGAGGAGGCCTTACACACCCCAACAAGAACCTTTTCCAGCTACTGAAGAAAGCGGAAGAGTTCTTCGTGCAAAACAAAAACCACAAGACTGTCTACTGGGACACAATCGACAGTGTTCTTGACACAGGCACAATAACGTTTCCATGCGCTGAACACAAAGAAGAAACGATTGCCCAGTTGCTCCACTACTACTTCAGCATGCGAATGCGACAACACTGTAAGCATATTACGATGAGTAGGAAAAAAACAAGCTCAAGAGATAAAGAAATCAGCAAAGCAGCGCTCGTCTTAGTTTAAGGGCATGGGCGAGAAACACAGGATGTAGGAGATGGCGTTCATTAGTAGTATGCAGTGAATTCAGATTTTATGTACATTTTAAAGCCAAAATATTTGTCAGGTATATTTTACCTGTAAGACGGGGTGACACCATATTGTGCGAGTATAGATGAAAAGTGATTTATGTATTATAACCACTACTATTGTTTGACTTTCAGTCACTGTGTCATCATGTCAGTCAGTATGTCATCATCCTGTGTCATTGTTTCAGGCACTATGTCATCATAAATGGGAATTTTTTCTGCTCACAAGATTTGTAGGTTCCACAGTACAAGTTGTCATTGTATATATAAACCATTTGTAATGCTAAAACCTTTATGCGCATGTAAAGATTTCCCTCCCTTCTACGCTTATGGCCAAGAGGTCAACGCGTCAAGAGATCCAACGTGTCAAGGGATCCAATAGTCACGTGACAGCCGAGTCAAGAGGTCCAGCGCGCCAAGAGATCCAATATGGGTCAAGAGGTCCAACGAGTCAAGAGGTCCAACGCGTCAAGAGATCCTAATTGGGTCAAGAGGTCCAACGAGTCTGGAGATCCAACGTTGGATCTCTCGACTTTGGACCTTTTGACTCGCTATGCGATCGATTCCGAGGGTGGTGGGGGGGGGGGGGGGGGTAAATAATATTAAAGCAAAACGCTACCAATCGCGCAATATTGGAGAGCTTATGTAGACCGTCTGATAGCCCCCCTAACGGTACCCGATAAGCAAACGATGCACGCGGAAAGGTGCCGGAGGAGTATGGGGTATCGTTAACCGTCTTATCGGGAAGGTCTACTAAAACTTCCTACTGGTAGCCTGAATTAAAAACATAAGCAAACAAGGAAACGGGATTTTATTTATTTATATTTCATGCTTGGGGCACTAGTGCTCCCGCTAAAAGATACTTTTAAAAGCCACGCGTTAGCGGCCGTGCCTTAATTTGCTTCTGCTGGACGCAACTTGTGAGATTGAGTATAGTTTTCGGTCGCGTTTGATTGTGCTGCCACGCCGATATCGACGCCTGCGTCACCAGTTATTATTCCCTTCTGTTCATTTTTTCAGTTATTTGCCACATCCTCTCCTGTCATTCGTGACAATATTTTAGCGGTAAGTGGTTGTCGCATTTAGATTTACAGGATGGAAAATTCTTCAGCTTACTTTCGATGAATTACTGGAACCTATGAAAATAGTCTATCAGTCTTTTTTGTCGATTATAGGATTCCGATGGATATCAATGACTGCTAGTGATTATCACTGAATGTTTCAATATTTTGGGTGCTTTTGGAAAACACGGGTTTTACATCACTGTTGATGTCAACTGGATATATACGATTAGTCACAATTTTCAGGTTTTTGAGCGTTAATTATTAAGCTGGGGCAGTGTTTGGCAACATATTCTGGGCTTGTGTTAGGTCACTGTCTACATTACACTGCATTATTAGATATACTTGTGAACCACAAACGACTTCGGGAAGAGAAGTGTCTGCATTCTAGGATATTAATTGCTTTTCGTTTTTTTTTTTTTTCGGCATTATCTTTCTAATTTTTCTATAAATTGAGGCTTTGCCCAGATACATAACACGCCACAGCGATATTGTCACGAATTAAAAAATGATTAGGCCGTGAATTAAATGGAGAAACTAAACCTCTAACGGGGGTGAACTTTTGCCCCAAAGAAAATAGAACAAGGCTAGCGTCGCAGGCGTCGACGGCGGTGAAACAGCAGGGTCGAACGCTGGGGCGAGACTGACTCCGGCTTGCCACGCGGAGCCCTTATGTAGTCGTGTGGGCTTCTGGAACAATCGGTGCAGGAGGTTCGGCGCCTTGAACGTTCTAACCTCGAATAAGCAACAGGGTTCTCGAATTTACCAGAACGCGACTTTACAGAAACAACAGAAAGGTGTATCGGCGGCCAGGCATCGAACCTCAACCTTTCGCGTGGGAGCCAAGCACGATAACTGTTACGCCACAAGCGCCCTGCTTAAGACCGGTTCAAACAGACCCGGACTGCAAACCCGGGCGCCGGAACCCGTAGTGACGTCAGCGCTCCCTCCGTACGGGCATTGACGTAAATACGGCTTCCGGCACCCGGA